AACCAGTATTATATGAAATGCTGAAAGGTATTCTTGAAGAAGAGGAAGAAGAAAAAGGTAAAGATAAAAATTATGAACAACAAAGTGACAACAAATAAATATCTATCAACAAGTGAACCTAAAAATTAAGTCAGAATAAACTGGTGAATATAATAGAATCAGGGGCAGAGAAAGAGAGTGGACTGACAATTCTTGGGGGGAAGGGGGTGTGGGGGGTACAGGAAGAGATTGGACAAAGATCTTACACCTATGGATGAGGACAATGGGGGGGTAAGGGCAGAGGGTGGGGTGGGAACCGGGTGAAGGGGAGCTATGGGGGGGAAAAAGAGGAACAAATGTAATAATCTGAACAATAAAGATTTAATTAAAAAAACAAACTCAAAATTAACAATTTAATTAGAAAAATGAACAAGACATAGACATTTCACCAAAGAGGATAAATGTACGGCAAATAAACATATGAATAGATTTCCCACATCATGAGCCATTAGGAAAGTGTAAATTAAAGCCAAATGAGATATTAATACACACCTATTACAACAGCCAAAATGAGAGAGAGAGAGAGAGAGAGAGAGACTGAGACTAAATGTCAGTGAGCATGAAGAAAAACTGGATTTCTCATACAACTCCTGGTGAGAATGTGAAATGGTACAGCTACCCTCCAAAGTTTTTTCTGGCAGTTTCTTAAAAGTTAAACATACACTCACCATGCCACACAGCAATTGTACGCTTGGGTATTTATCCCAGAAAGGAAAACTCATCTTTAAACAAAAAGTCTATAATACTAATGTCTATAACAAGTTATCTTGTAATACCTCAAAAAACTGGAAATAATACAGATGTCCTTCAACAAGCCAGTGGGGTTATAGAAACTGAAATATCTATACATACAGGGGAATATAGGTGAGAAAAAAAAAAACAGTAACTATTGATATGTGTAGTAACTTGGATGGCTCTCAAGGGCATTACGCTAAGGAAAAAAAAGGCCAATTACATTTTGTACGATTCCATTTACATCACATTCTTAAAACAACAAAACATTTAGAATTAACAACAGAATTGTAGCAGCTAGGCGATAGGGACAGGGTTGAGGAGTGGGTATGACAGGAGGGATTTTCTTATAATGGGACAGTTCTCTATCTTTATTGTGGTAGTAGTCACACAAATCTATACATGGGATCATAGCACAGAGACACAGACACAAAAATGAGCTCAGGTGAAAACTGCTAAAAGTTGAATAAGGTGTTTAGTCTATTACCAGTGAGTGGTATACCAATGTAAATTTTCTGCTTTGAAATATTACACTGGAGTTACATAAGCTGTCACCCTTAAGAGAAGCTGGATGAAGGATTTACTGGACTCCATGTACTTCTGTGAGTCTATAATGATTTCAAAATTAAAAATTTAAGAAGAGAATTCTAATTTTATGGCTTTTAAAAACTACTTAATGACCAAAATAGTGATTAGTGGTCCAAGCAAATCTTTATTATCTGCAAATAGATTATCAGAGTAAGTTTGGTTGAATTTTTCTTCAAATTATACCAATCGATCTTGGGACTCCTTCTACTTCCTATTGTGCTTTCTATACTATAATTTTACTTACTATTCTAAAATAGTAGAACTAGACATAAAGTGTAAGAGGAGATGAATGTCTATGCAGGACTAAGTGATTTCTCATTTTGGTATCAAATATAAACCTAAGTGACTAAAATTTTGGTAGAACCTACTATTACGTATTCATACTATTGCAAGGAGCAGTGAAATGGGTAAGTTTAAGGAATGATTCACCCTGATATTACTGCTTTAGTTCTACAATTGCTGTATTATCAGTTTCCAGTAGGTCCTTCTCTCTAAATTGTTTTGTTAGAATGATTAAACCTAATAATCAATCTCAGCCTTTCAAGTAACAATTGGTCTATGCTATTGTCTCAAAAATTTCAACTCAAACCACTTCTGTTACTAGTTGTCTCTATCCCACTTTCAGATCACCATTATTTCTTGCCCAGATATCTACAGCTTCTTTACTGGTCTCCAAGTCTTAACTCATTTATGATAACACTTTCTCATAAAAACCCTTTCCCAACCCCCCAAATCTAAATTCCAAATTCCCTAACATCATTTAAAAGGAATGACTAGTTTCCCAGCTTACTGAACTAGCTCCTTCTCTTAATATTGTTCCTGGAACAATCAACCATTCTCTCTACCCTT